AAAAGTTATACTCACCCAAACCTCGCAGCCAGCCGGCTGTCAGCGCTTCCTCCAGCTTCTCTCGTATGCTGCAGTGATGATATGTCCCTCAGTGTCCTCAAGTTGTATACACTGTGTATAGAACTTGATGACTCATGGACCTTAGACCACTGCAGCGAAGGCGGAGAGAAGCTCTAGGGAGCAATCTAACCGCAAGCCGGCTCGGAGGATCAGGCGTGTATAACTTTATTTTAGTCCGTAAATGAAAATGAGCAAATAACCCCTGCAGTGCAGGGTAGCCCCACTGCAAGGGTTAATAAAAATGTTTTCTTGGAGTTCTTTAAATCAAAGCTTATGAAACCTATTTGATAAACATCTGTGCTTTCTGATATTCCCTATTGAAGTCATGTAGTTATAAGGTTGCCACTCGCCTACACACCGAATCACATGAACTAATGTTAAACAGCCAAGTCTATAAGTTAAAGGCCAACTCCAAGCATGTTTTTTTATTTTTTTATTCTTTGGGATGGAGTAGGTAGAGGTGGAGAATATATTCAATAGGGATATATTCTCCACCTTGCTGTCAGAAAAAGAAGTGCTGCAAAGCCTTTCCAACAGGGAGACAGACACAAATGCATTTTTCGTAGAGTGGGGTAGAATTGGAACATTTGTCCGAGTGGAAACCACATACTATAATTCTTATATGTGTATTATAAAGACAGTATATGAGGGGACATCTCCTCAGGCAGAAATAAAATAATAATAATAAAAAAAAAAAACTTACAGGGTTATTCATTAAAGGGTGAAAAGTGTGGAGAAGGCAGGAGAAGTAAACAATCTAGGCCAAAATGGCTCATTTGGAAAAATGTTCCAATTCATCTCACTTTCTAGATCAGCTATGTTGTCCTAGATTGTCAACATCTGCTGCCTTCTCCAAACTCTTCACCCTTTAGGCTGGGTTTACACCTAGGCGTATTGAATATGCGCGTTTGTTGCGCGTTTTTACCGCGATTCGCCCGTTTCCGAGGGCTACTTGGTTGTATCCCAATGGACCAATGGAAACGCGAGACCAAAACGCCCCAAATAAGTACATGTACTTCTTTGGGCGTAGGCCGTTTTGTATCGCGTTCGGACGGGTGGAAATACGGCAAGGTGTGAACCAGACCCATTGAATACAATGGGATTTAGATGTTTGAGTGTTTTGTAGAGTGTTCGTCGAGCGTTGAACGCGCAACAAAACGTTCAGGTGTGAACCAGGCCTTAGTGAATAACCCTGTTATTGTCAACATCTGGGCTGTGAAGCTGAACTCCAGACTTAAAACTAGGGATGCACTTATACCGGTATCGAGTACAAATAGTTAAGGAAGCCAGGAGGCGAGTCATTACACAGCGCCCGGAAGCCGGGCAGCGTGTAATGACTGGCTGCCTGGCTTCCTGATACCGGACGTTCGGGCATCGGGCTAGGCATCGGAGCATTTTGGCGAGTACTTGCTCAAATACTCTGTATCGTCACCAATACTAGTATCGATATTGGTGCATCCCTAATTAAAACATATTGGCTTCACTGATAGTTGCACATACATAATAGCATTGTGTTCTTTGTATAGGCATCCTGCGTGCTGAGAAACAACTGGCTCTATGTGCACAGCCTTTTTTCTGCATTTCCACTTTTACAGCCAACATTACATAGCTTAAACATATTTTAAAACGGCTGCTCCCGTTTTTTAGTGCTTTTTACTCGCTTAACAATTCTTCCTAGCTCCCCCCATGTAATGTTGAGGAGTATGTGTTTGTGTTTTTAAAGGGGGGGTAATATTTACACTCGGCACTCAGGCCACAGCTGGACCATTGATGTTTGATTGCACGGACACTGTGGATGCTGAATTTGTACTTGTATTGATCTAGCTTCATGCAAAGTACAGCTCTGCAAAAAGGAATGTTGGGGAAAAAAACAACAGTCTTTAACCCCTTCGTGACTGACGACGACGTACGATCCCCTCCCCGTTCTATGGGACCCGGGAGCGATGCAGATTGCATCACTTCCGGTCCCTGGGCTGTCAGTTCTGGGCTCCTGCAGCCCAGCTATAAGCTATTGAAGTGCGATCTGCACTTCAATAGCTTATTTCCAGTGTAAAGGTGACACTGAGGGTCTTTTGGACCCCCAGCATCACCTTAAAGAGGACCTGTCACCACCATCTGCTATTACATGGGGGGGCTTGCAAGCCCCCCCATGTGATAGCAGTCAAAGTAAAGTAAAAAAAAAAAAAAAACAGTTTTTAAAATTAAAATGAAATAAAATAAATCTAATAATAATAAAAAAAAATTTTAAAAGTCCCCCGCGAGCACGCGCGTCGCCACGTAAACACGCGTCGGGTGCGCCTATGTATGAAAACGACGAACGCGCTACACATGTTGGGTATCGCCGCGCACGCCGGAGTGAGAGCAATAATTCTAGGGCCAGTATTTTGGGGCATCTCTAAATTGATAACCTGTAGGGGCTTTTAAAGTGTCTTTTATGGACTTTTTGGGGTACTGCAGTTTTTCGCCGTTTCACAGACGCACGCAATTTGTAACCTAGGCATGTTGGGTATCGTTTTACTCGTTGTAACCTCATCTTTTATATTTCATTACAAAATTGGTATTTTGTTGTGTTGTGGGACATTTAATTAAATTTTTTACTAAATGTTGGGTTTTAATAAGGAGTTGCGCTAATATTTGCAACTACCACCATTTTATTCTATAGGGTCTTGGCATTCAGAAAATATATAATGTTTGGGGGTTTTAAGTCATTTTCAGGCCTAAAATGTGGAATATAACATGGGTGCAAAAAAATGAAGAAAAGGCCTCAGTCATGAAGGGGTTAAATAATGTCGTAGAACACGTGCCTATAGCTGCCATTCTAAAAATCACTTTAGGCAAAATATATATATCTATATAGATATAGATCTATATATAGATATAGATATATATATCTATATAGATATATATCTAGATATATATAATTTTATAATCCACTAGCTAATATTAACATGTTGTTTACACACACATAAGACTTGCTGCTTGTTTATCTTGTAGACAGAAATATTGTAGTGTGGTGTGTTGTTGTATGATGTGTATTTGGCTCAGTTGGGGAGATGTGTGGGTGTAGTACAGAAACCACAGCACTGACAGGCATTCAGCGGAGCACCAGGAGCATGAGACCCGGGGAGTTTTGCAAGGTTCTAGGAATCAAGTCAGCATATTTTTTTTATTTATTTGCCAAGCTGACCTCTCCCTCCTGCTTGGAAGATGAATCTGCCCTGTCATCGGGCCAGATTCAGCAGCATTTCCAATTTTCATTCAAACTGAAAACGGTTACTTCAAATTTAAATGTTTGTCTTGGCACCATTGGCTTGTAAATTTACGTGTGTTATATTATCTTCCCTGAATCATCCCAGCTGCTTTGAATACGCACACAAATAAGTTGCCTCAGTTTTGGTTGATTTGCATTTATATTTTACTGGCATACCCTTTAATTCCATATGTTCTGACACGTGGCATGATATGTATATATTAAGGTGTTTTTTGGGGGTTTTTTTTAAGACCAGTGCAAGCTTTTGACCAAGAGTCTACATCTGGTGCTTTCAACACAGGTTTTCCAGATGGATACTGTGACGACATGGTGATGAGTTTATAAGTTAAATGTGTATTGGTGTTGGGTTATGTTTTGAGTGCGTTATGTTGTGTGACCTGGTTATGGAAAGACTATCAGCACCATCCCTCGTTATCTCCCATTGTACTCTGAGGGAGCTCAGAACAATGACATACCAATGGTTTCTGCCCACCACATATAAATGAACCCCTTGTGGTGTATGTAAACCCTAGCAATGATCTTCTCCAATTTTCTTAAATATAGCTTTGGAAGCATTTTGTCATATCTGTTGTTATATCTGTTTGATAATTGTAGGCGGGAGAACATCTTCTGGGCTTTGATTAGAATTTCCAAATGCAAACTAAATTTAATAAAGCAGAAATATGTTCCACCAAAATGTGAACTGAATAAAGGTTTTTTTTGTTGTTTTTTTTGAACAAGATGCCTGCTTGCAACAGGTTCATTACTACCTCTTCTGTGTACTGTATGGAGTTGGGTGGAAAATTGTCAGCCAAACAGTAACTGCTTCCAATTAGATGCAGTCGCTGTTCAGGTATACAGCCATTCATAGGTATCGACTGTCTGAATACTATAGCCAGCAGGTGAGACTCTTCCATTCACAGTGCTTAGTGCGAATGAATGAGGGAAATCAATGTGGGTATGGCTAGCTGAAGTTTTCATTAGAACACAGCCTGAATAAAGAAGCCAGTTTCTTGCCAGCATGCAGCAGAGGAGTAATTCTCTCTGTGTAGAAGTAGTGGTCTCTCTGCAGAACTCTTACACGCCCCCTGCTAGGTTTAGAGCTTTCATATTAGCAGGGAGCATGAGCTTTGGTGGTTGCAGAGTTATAGGTCTGACTCAGCAGGGGGCTTGTCAGACCTATGCAGAGTGACCACTGCTTCCCTACAGAGATCAGGTATCCTTCTCTCTAGCATGCTGGCAGGTAACCGGCTTTTCTGCTCTGGCTGTGCTTGTAAGAGGAACTGTACCACTTATCACACCTTTTTTGTTTCGATTTATCTTCACTGTATTTAGCAGATTTAAACTGAAAGTTCAATTGGGCTTTAAAGAACAACTCCAAGGGTTAATAAAAGTTGTAACTGGAGTTAACTGCTTTGGATGTTTTTTGCAAAACAGCATTGGCACATTTGAAGTTAAAAACAGATAATAATTCAGTTTGAAAATAAACTTTTTATAAAAATCAATTACAATTGACCTCAAACCACCGTTCCCCTTTACATGTAGCAGGTTGTTTTATTGTGGTTTTTTTTTTTTGGAAACCAGATGTGTTCATTGTGCACTCTCTCTTGGCGGAGTCAGGGATCTTTGTAATGCAGATGTAAAATATTCTGAACTGATGCCCTTTATTTTGCTTCTCTCCCATGCACAGGAGATAAAGCTTTGGATGGTTACAGCAAGAAGAAATATGTCTGCAAGCTGCTGTTTATCTTCCTACTTGGCCATGACATTGACTTTGGCCACATGGAGGCAGTGAATCTGCTCAGTTCCAACAAGTACACGGAGAAGCAGATTGTGAGTCAGACATTTTAATATCTTTTACAGTGCTAAGATCTTGTACATTTTTACGTTTTTGGCATGGGAAATATGTGTCTAAGAGGACCTGTGACTAAAAAAAAAACAGTCATGAGAGAAATACAACCATTGCCAACCTCTTTCTAAAAATGTTAGAAGATGCAACTACTTGTTGATCTTGTCAGAAATCAAGCTGGCAGATTCCTGTGTCTTTTGCAGTGTTTTCTTCAAGCAATGTTATTCGCCCTGCCTAATTTACCTCTGTGAACTACAGAGCACTACCCTCCTTTTGTAATAAGAGGGTTGTCCTGTAGTACTAACACTTCTTGTCCTAGAGTGACAATGCTGCTTTTCCATAGATACAGTACAGTGAGTGAGAGTTGCTTCCCTGGACTGGAAGTGTTATTTTGCAGGATTACTAAGTGAAAAGAAGCCTGAAAATTGAAAGCTAATGCAGCCACTTGTTCTTCTTAAAGCCACACTCCGAAAAAAAATATTTTTTTATCCACTGCACTGGGTGAGTAAATTATTAAAAGGCTGTGTGTTAAGACACTAGATGGTGCTAAGGTGTTCGACTCAGTAGAATGGCGCTTCCTTTTGAAGAGCAGGTATGGATTCGGACCTATCTTTATTAAATTGGTGCATAGTCTTTATTAGGCTCCAGTGGCTA